GCGCGGCGCGGAGCGGAGGGGCGCCCGGCGGAGCTGCAGCTGCCCGCCGCCATGGAGCCCGACTCGGTGATCGAGGACAAGACCATCGAGCTCATGGTGAGTGCGCCGCCGCCGCGGCCGCCGCCGCACAAAGACCGCGGCCCGCCATGAGGGGCCGTGGGCGCCATCCCCGCGCGCGCTGGGAAGAGAAAATATTATATTAAAAAAGAAAAAAAAGGAAAAAAAAAAAATCCCGAAGCTCGAGGGGAGGCGCAGACCCCAGTGCGGCGGCCCGGGCGCTGCGGCATCCGGCGCCACCGGCCCCCCGGGCCGCCTCCCTGCCCGCAGCCCCCGGCTCGGGCCCAGGCTGGAGGCCGCGGGGCCGGCGGCGTCTCCCGCTCCCCTTGTCCCCCCGTTGCTTTGTTTGCCGTTTAACGTGGGGAGCGCGTAGGTCTGTGTGAGCGGGCAGGAGGGCAGGGAGCAAAAATCGAGTTAAGTTTGGGACTGGGAGAAGCTAGGGAGGAAAACCATAGGAAAAGAGAAAAAAAAAAAAAAAAAGTAAAAGCAGCTTCCACTCGCTTGCTCGTTTGCCATAAGCTCAGTTTGCTTTTCCGTGCAAAATTCCGTGCGGCCCTGCGGAATTGGATGTAAAGCTCCAGTGCTGCATTTGAGGCACTCTGCAAAGCTGTGTGGAGGTCAGTAGAGACATCAGGTTTTTACATTTTTATTTTATTTTATTTTTTCCAGGCAGTATAGTTTTTGCTAATCAAACTCCCCTGGAAAACTTGAGCTTCCTTTGAGTGCTGCCTTTTATCAAGAAGCAAAAAGCGTGTATTTTTTTTTTTCCCCAAATCAGGCATTCCTTTCATTTTGTTTTCCAGCCACTGGGATTCTTGGCTTAAAAACTACTCTTAATGAGCCTGCCTTCTTGATCCGTATTGATTCCTGGAGCCTGCCCTTAAAACTTGGTGCCCTTTGCAGCGTTAGCAGGTTGCACTGTTAAGGCTACTGGCCGCTCTGGAGGCATCTCTTACAGAACAGCTCCTTTATAGCAAAGAGGTCTTCAATTTCAAACATATAAAATGAGTTCCAGTGTTTTTTTTTWATCCTTCTTTTGATAGAGGGTCACCAGGGCCGTGGGTTATATGAGGTTCTAAAATAGACTTTGAGGCTGGAAGGTGCATTGGCCTCCTCTAAGTTCCTTGCTTGTCTCTTTGTAACTGCTCTCCATTTTTAGAAGTCTGCTCTATTTATGACCATGTTGCCCACRAACCGAAGCAAATACAACTCTTGAATGCTTTTAATTGTTTGCTCTCTATTTGCAGCTGGTCCTTCAGAAAACGTTAGCAGAAGGACAAATACTGGGGTTATTAAGATGGGATTTATTCTAGAGAAGGAGGTTTCAGATATGTTTTTACCTCATTCCTAAATATGAAATGTTAWTAGGAAGAGTAATGTGTTTTATAGTTTTCCTGTAGAAAAGGGTACTTAGTAACACTGTAGCTGGTAGTTGAATTTAGTTTCCCTCTTAAACTTTTAGAAGCATAGAAGCGTTTGAGTTGAAGCGTTCCACTAAATTCATTCAGAATCATTTGTAAATGAAGATGTGACCCAAAAAGGCTTGGAAATCTTACGTGCTTTAGAAGGTGAGATTTTTCTGAAGACTTGTTTAAATAGAACAGAAAAAGAGGCATTATGGACAGTGTGATTTCAGCACTATGTACAAATTCAGTTAACTAGTTAACTAGTGTTAACCAGTTGTTAACACTAGTGGCAAACATACCTAAACCAGGGGAGATCTCACCATGACGGACTTTAGCTTCTGTGCTTAAGAATCTCTTTGTAAGGAAGAAGGTTTGTTTACTAAAAGTGAACGTTTTATATCTCTCTGATACAAGAGACTGTATTTTATGTACTTTTGGTACTTGGTGAATTCCCCTAATGCCAAAGGTGAAGCTCTAGTAGATGCAGGTGCCAGAGCTTGATGCAGAAGTTCTGGGTGCAAAGCAAGTGTAATGCCGAGCACCTGATAAATGCGAGATAAGATGTCAACACGCTAATTACATGAGAGCTTCCGAACCTCATGTTCTAGCTCCAAACTCTGCCTGAGCTCCACAGATCGTTTGCCTTTATTAAAAGAAAAATCAGTGATGGAAATAATACAGTTCTTTGTTTAGCTGGAATCCGAGTGAAATATTTGCAGGTTCCAAAGTGGCAGCTTTCATTTGCCATGTGAAAAATCAGCTGTATCTGAAGTAAGCTGTCCTAAAAGACACGTTTAAGATTGTAGATACCATCTTTCGGTTTTACTAAATGATATATCTGGCCTTCACAGTGTTGCTAGGGTTTTTGGTGATGAGCAGTCGGTCTAGTTATGACGCCTCGTGGCTTCCATTTGCCTGTGGTTTCTGTCCCGATAGGCAAGGTGCCCATCACCTGTAGAGTGACTTTGGGAAACGCAAGGCTGCAAGGCCTGGAAATATAACGTATTTTTTGCCTGCGGGAGGTAGAGATTTAGACTAACAGCACCTTCATCAGGGTGGTCATTACATATCCTAGTACGTGCACAGTTTGGGCTAAATGCTTTGTGTGAATGGGCTAATTATTGGAAAACGAGTAGTAATGAGGTAATCCGGAACAGATGGAAGATCAGCTGAAATGATTGATAGAGGTCTTTCTTTCCTGGCTTTGATTTTCCTTTGTGGAATTGGATAACTGCTGCCTTTTTGCTCTTTTCAAGAATCAACCTTTTCTTCTTAGGGTGAAGTGCCAACAACAATGATTTGCAGAAAAAGTTAAAAAAAACCCTACAAATTCTAAATTGTGGAAAAAGAAATCTGTAATGCTCAGTTGCATCCCCTGCATTGTATGCATTTGCCTTGAATACTCGCTCAAAACCTAATGTTTTTCACTTTATTCGACAACTTCACTGAACCATATGTTTATTTTACCAGCAGGCTTTTAAAGTTAGGAGATTGCTAGCACCTGAGTTTGTGCTAAAGTGCTTGTGAATGGATCGTAAGGCAGGAAAATACGGTCCTTATAAACAGGATAAAAAGGTGTGTGTTTCTGAGGTGAGCTATGTAGGGAGAGCATTGAACACCAATCCTTTCCTCTCCGCCCGTGTGCCCACAGGCACTTATTGGACGTGATTCCTGAAGCAGGAAGCCAAGTGTGTGCTAATATTCCCATTTACTGAGCTCATCATCATCTGTCTTTCCCTGTGCCCTCGGTGTGTACACAGTTCTACTAGCAGATCCCCGTGCTGCAGACGTGGCGGGTTAAATTCAGTGCAACAGGGGCTGGGGAAAGGCCATGCTTGGGAATAAAGCTGACAAGCGCTCACACTGTGTTCATTTTTCTATTTGAAGGTTGTATGTGTTTGTACTCCAAATGCTTTTGGAATAATTCTTCAGAGAGTTTACTTTTGTCGTGATAAAAGTGCGGATGCACAACGATCGTATCGGCATCAGGAACAAGGGAGCTGTTATCCAACCTCAAATAGGACAAGGTGTTTGGAAAGCTCTGTGCTCGCTTTGTAGCACAAACAGCTGGTTTTGCAGTTGCTTTTTGTGACCTTCAGTAGTTAAATTAGCAGAGCAGAGGGCTGCATAKCAGATGTGCAAATGTGCTGCCACTAAGATGCTGGATAATTTCATACCAAGGGGGGAAAAAAAAAGGCAAAATGGCTGGAGTGGGAATCTGASAAGGTGGGAACTGAAGAGCAAAGTGGCTGGTAGGAAGGTGCAGAAGAGACTTTGGGGCTGGGGAGGTCGGATCTGCGCTGCCACAGGGGCTGTCACACTGACAGTCCCACTTCAGCGGTGCCTGTAAGAGGAAGAACGGGGCTCTGAAGAGATGGGATTGCTGCGACTTTGGCAGCGGTGCAGAAAAATGGGAAGGAAGAGCATAAGAACACGAATCGAACGAGACAAGCGAGCTCTGAGCCAGCAGAAGGGTGATGAAATGAGGGAAGTGGACAGGAGTGCGGAGAGCTGCCCCTTTGGGGAGGGGTTAGTGGAAGCGGCCAGAAAATGGGACTGGGAGGGGACATAGAGAATATAAAGATGCAGAACAGAGGATACAAATTAAAAATCTGAAACACTGCCTGGCCGTTATTATGGCAGCAGCCATCAGCTTGGACAGATGAAGAAAAACTGCAGATGCTCCATTTGGAAGGAAAAATGTGAAATTAAATTGCTTTTGGTTACTTAATGGAGGAAGCTTACGGCTTCTTCGTGAGACCAAAGGTTTTGCCAGAGGTTTTTGAAATCTTGGTAGAGATGCTGAGATCTTTGCCTCACTGTTAAGTTTTCACAGATTACTAATTTCTCCAGCTTTTGCAATCGTGCTGAGCAAGCAAGCTGCAGCAAATCATCCTATGGCCTGAAAAAATCCACATTAGAGCCTGTGAGCTGCTGGATAGTTGCAGGGCACTGTGGTGGGGCCGTAAGGTCCTGAATTGTGCTCCTGGATCCTGCTGCAAAACACACCTTGGCCTTGTCAGCGTTTCAGAGCCTCTTGACCGTGTTTCCCTTGAGCAGAGCTGTGAATRCTGCCGTTTTCAGGTCCCCAATAAGCACTGCTCCTTATCCAAGCCAACTAACCTGACTCCTTATAAGCTGCACCCTTAGAGACACCAGGGGTGTTATTTAAAGGCTGGCTGTATCTTTGCGTTTCATGTGTGTTTTCTAAAACACCTTCGCTGCTTGTCCTGCAGCGCATTCCCTTTTATTGCTGCTGGAGTTAGAGGTCATTGCTGCTTTGACGCTTTCAGGCCCCRCTTGCTCTGTGGCTTGGAGAGCTCAGGCAGGAGCGCAGGCTTTCCAGGCTGAGGAGGGAATGGAGGTTGCAGCGGGTGTGCCAAGGAGAAGAGGGCTGTGTGGGAGAGAGCAAGAGGCTGTGGTTGGAAGAAGGCTGTTCTGTGGCAAGTCTTTTACTTTCTAAAGGGGGAAATGGGAGGGAAATGAGATTTAAACGAGTGATTTAGACTAATGCTGATTAATAGCAATACTTACATTCTGCCTTTATTTTCTGTGGTGTTTTCTTTGCACTAATGCCGCTGTTTATGTTGTCATATAATCTGATGTATTTTTTTTTTTCAGTTTGATTGTGGGGTATTGATAGCGCTTTATCGTTCAGTGAAAATCCCCTCCTGGAAAATCCCGTCCTTCCCGAGCGCATGGGTGTATGTAGCCCTCCATGGTGTGACATTTGACAACCCACTCCATCTTCCCGTGCTACTTTTTACATGCTTCCCAGTGTGAGTAGTACGGACCAGATACAGCAAAACGTAACTCGCTCTTTCTTATGTGTCACCTAGCAAAAAGCCCCGTCTCTTTTTGAAACCTTAATTTGCTTCTCATTCAGGCTAAATAAAAATGCATGTTGCTTTTTCCCTGCTTTCTTAATGCAAAGCCCCCCAGGAAGCTGCATCCTTGTGCTTCTACCTGCCCTGAAACCCTGAAGCTTTCCTTGGGGCTCAAAGAAAAGCTCAGCTTTGTACAAATAGAGCCCTGGATGGTGGGGTCTGGGTAGGTACCACTGCTGGGGCTAGAGACCAATGTGCTCCGTGTGAACCGTGAACAGTGGCTGGGGTCRGTTTTTAGCTGAGACAGAGTTGCAGAATTTTGTTCGTTCAGTGGCTTGGAGAAGCAGGACAGCTGCATGTGCGGCTTAACAAATCGTGTGACGCTTCTGAGTTGTTGAAGGGTTCTTCTATATTGAGTTTTGGTGCAAAATAAGGTGTCAACTTGTGTGTCTTTCCCTGAGGTGCATGTTTGTGTGTGGAGATGGCCTGCCTGGTGACCACCTTTCCGTCATGTCTAGAGAAAATACGTGCTGCTTTGTGACAATCTGTGTTCAGAATCTGTTGGCCRAGTTTTCAAAACCCGCTAACTTGGAATTCCAGCTTGTAGCTACTAGAGATGCTTTTGAAGAAGTTCTATCTGGACAGCAAAGGGCTAATYGGGGAAACTTGGTATTCAAGTAGTCTCCATCACTCCACTCCTCCGCAAGAGGAAAATCAGCTCTGGGTTGTAACGCTCCCAAGTAACTTGAAGGAAGGCCCTCATGGTGAAGTGCCTCTCCTAGCATCTCCCTGGCTCTGTTACTCAGCAAATCGGGTCATTTCTATCATTCTTAGCGGTCTTGTTGCTGAGCTGGGTGGCTGTACTTCTGAGTCAYGCGCCTGGACATCCTCTCGCTTTCCTTGGCAGCCTCCTGAGTCGTAGCTGGGGCGCTCCAAGCTCGGGCGCTCCAAGCTCGGGCACCGCTTCATCCTTGAGACGCGCTTCCGGAACAGAATATTAATTTACTCTTGATAAGCACAAAATCAGCCCCCGAGGTAGCTGCTCCCGGCCTCCGGCAGCCCGGCCAGCCGCAGAGCTGGCTGCCCTCGCCGTGAATCGCCGCAGCTTCTGCCATCCCCGTCTGTGCTAGAGTTTTGATAMGCGGGGCATGAAAAACCACTCAATTCATTTTCAGGAGAGGCTCGTGAGGAAAGGGGAAGCGTGAGAGAAAGCGGTGGCGTTTCTGCTGTGGATCTGACAGAATTCTGCTCGAGAGCACAGCACTGTTTCTGGCCATTTTCCCTAATATTTTCTAGGCTTTATAGCCAACTTTTTGATGGCTCTAGTCTCTGTGATGTGTTTCCATCATTCTGTTGGATGCATGAGCTTTCTGCAGACTCATCCACTCTAAGATACTACTGTTCAGTTTACTTCATTTCAACTAATTGAGTCATTTTTATACCCCGTCGTGCTACTGAAAGAGCTGCATGAAGTCCTTTTTCATCTTCACCAGAGAGTAAGGAATAATGTTTCCCATTCCATCAGGACCAATGTGCCTTATCTTACTCTCCTATTTCTAGATTTTTTTTTTCAGAGATAGTGAAAATATAGTGAGGTTTTGCATCTTTTGAATCATAAAGTATCTTGAAGGTTGCATCTTGGTGCTRCTGGTACGTGAGGAAAGTTGGATTGGCCGGAGCTGGGAAGAAGGTTGATAGTAACCTCAGTGAAGCGCTCCGGGATGTGCATGTGGCTGAGTTAGCAGACCTGTGTGCTGTGAAAGTGTTTTGAGAACCTGTGTGTTAGCACCTGGCAGGCGGTGGTGCATGTTGAAGGCAGCGGTTGGAGCTTCAGCAGTCGCTCTGTGGTTTAGCCTGTAATTCCTTCTTGTCCATTCTAATCCCTGTGCAGAGCGAGCTCTTCCCCGGAGCGTTTGTGCTGGGTTGCCTGATCCAGGCCRCGGGAAGGAGCGATTTCTTGTCTGTAAATGAGTTTCTTTGTCTTAGATCCACCAATCCCGCTAGTTTAGTGGCTGTTGCCCTGGTGAGGGTCCCTAGGCTGCCTTGTCTCCCACCCAGCAGTAGGAATACGTACTGGGGGACTCATTCAAGCAAGAAGTAGATGCTTCAAGCTGAAGATGATCGGCTGCTCTCTTTTAACAGACAAGTCTGAGAAGGAAACCCCATTCGAATCCCCTTTCATTCTGGATTGGTGGATCTGAAGCCCAGAAACAAAGTTTCAGGTAAGAAGCCACCCTGTACTCTCTCTTGCTGCTTCTGCTTAGTTGAGTTTGTCTGCGCATTCAGTACCTCGCTTAACTGCTTCGCGTGCCCCACGGGGTAGAGCGCACCAAGGTAGCCGCTGATGTGAGGTTAGGGTAAGAAAGAGCAAATTCAGTCACACATGTGGGCTTTGCTAGGAAATTTCAGGTCTAACCTGCCAGGTAGTTCTAGGACCACGCGGTGAACTTGCCTCCCGTGGAGCCAGCAAGCGATATCTCCAGGTACGGGGGCACACAGCAAGTGCCATGTGGTTCTCACTTCCACGAGGAGAAGGGAGTCTGTGGGGTGACTTGGATCTTCTCAGTGGAGTTCAGAAAAGCCATAGCCTTCTGCTCTGATTCACCGCTGCCTTTTTCTCATGACTTCATCAAAACTGCAGAGAGCTTTCTCCACTTGTTTGTATTGCAGATTCCAGCGCTATCCTGTTGAAATGACRTTTAAATTTCTATGGTGGGCAGCACTTGGAGTCAGCCTTTTAAATCCTTAACCAGCTTGCAGCTTAAAACTCCCCTTTTATTTGCCTTCAAAACCCACGCAGGCCAGAGGCAAGGCACGTTTTCTTTAGGGTTATAGCAGGGTTATTCCAGAGKAGCATGTCTCTTTGGAGTCATCTCCATCGTGGGACTTTGAGGGTTGGGAATGGCTGGAGCAGGCTGTGATACATTATCTTGAAAACAAATTTGTAAGGTATCCRTGGGCATTGGGAAGGAAGGACTGTTTCACCAAGACTTGCCTCGAGTGTCAGGGTGAATTTGAGCCCTGAACCTCTCCTACCACCCGGCTTCCTTGCAAGTTAGAGCTTTAACCAGCTTGTCACCTCGTTTCTGAGGTTCTCCTAGGCTGCAGCGGGTCTGCCTGCACAGCTCCTCTTGATAATAATACCACTAAGCTGCTTGAGTCTTGCGCATTCCTTTGTAGACAGCTATTAAACCAACTCTTAAGGCATCCATCTTTTTAATACGCTGTGGAAGAAGCTCTCCTAGGYGGTGTTGGTAATATGTATTGTTTTAGCTGTGCATCTGTTTTGCTAGTCTGTTTTTGTTTTGCCGAAATCGTACTCGAGTTTAATTAACAAATATATAAAATGAGTTATCCTTAGGCCAGTGTTGTTTCCTGGCTTGATTTTGGGGCTATGTGAGTTGTACTTGGTTATGTGGAAAGATCTTGGGCCTGTTTTTTCTAAGTAAAATTCAGTGCTTTCAATGGTGGAAGTCGGAGGGAAATGCTCAGTAACTTCAGTCTGACATACTCCTTGACGCGTCTTCTCGTTATCAGCTTGAATTTGTCCCACATACCAGTCAGGCTGCTCCCGCCCTTGGAGCTTCCCTGCGAAACAAAACCTTGCAGAATACTGGCTGTTCTGCACTGGCCACCCTCAAAATGAGGGAATGGGGAATCAGAAGTGAACCTGACATTTTTAACAATGAAAACTGAAACGAGGAAATAATTTAAAATACAGGCAGAAAAAGGGGAAGCTTAACTGTGTACTCAAGTTAGCCAATATCATGATATTAAATATTATAACTGTTCATTCTGAAACATGAGACGGTCCTATGGAAAGCCGTAGTAATGTTAAGCTGAGCTTGAGTGCAAGTGCATGCAGGCTTAGTCCTGGTCCAGGCTTTGTAAAACTCTTTAGTTCTTTTTTTAGGTAAAATATAAGGCTACTTTCAAAGGCTATTTAAATAGTCCTCTGCAGTCTTTGAAATCATAGAATCATAGAATGCCGAAGGTTGGAAGGGACCTCAGAGGTCATCGAGTCCAACCCCCCTGCACACACAGGGTCACCTAGAGCACGTGGCACAGGGCTGCATCCAAGCGGGTTTTAAAGATCTCCAAAGAAGGAGACTCTGCAACCTCTCTGGGCAGCCTGTTCCAGTGCTTTGTCACCCTCACAGTGAAGAAATGCTTCCTTAAGTTCCCGTGGAATGAAAACCCTGGATATGAATTTAATATTTCATTATGTACCAGTAACCCAGACTTTATCTCGACAAATGTGGCCCAATTAAAGTCCGCTGCATGTAGATTTTGGATGAGATTTTTAGATCCTGGTAGTGTGTTAGATAACAAGCCCTCAAAGTTAACACAGAGAAGAATTTGAGTCAACTCTGAATGTGTTAATGGGGTTTTCAGCCCCTCTTTTCCTCTGTGTGTTGAACTTTTCACTTGATTTCTGCTGTTCCCGTGAGCCGTTGCAGGTGCCTCGGCAGCCTTGGCACTGGGTTTTGGGTGTGCTGCTGCCTTCAGCCGCGCGCGAGCCCCTGGGCTCTGTTACCTTAGAGGACGGGGAGGACTGTGCCCCTCAAAGGGCCATTGCTGTGTGAAGGGGGATCTGTTAATGCAGGAAGGACTGGCAGGGTTTTAAGSCTCTAAAAGTGTAGTGGTTCGGAGCTATGCACATGGAGGGAGCRAAGGCTGGTGAAGATGCTGTGGGTCTGGGGAAATTCAGATTGATCTCAGGTAGCACCGAATGACTTGGATGGGAATGTGTTAGGATTTTGCCCTAGAGAAAATCCCCCTTCTCTTGTATCCTCCTGAAAAGGTGATACTGCATCTCAGCCTTATCCAGAGGAGTAAATTATAACGGAGTAAGATTGTTCCTTTATTCAAGGAAAGCGTTAATAATCTTTTTCTCCYGAACCCCTGTTCCTTTTGCACCACTTATTTTGCTGTAGCAACCATTCTTTGATCTCCAGGAGCAGCATGGGACTGCATTATTGATCATCCTCCTGGGAATTCAGTGTCCTGTGTAGAAGAACCAAGTGGTAATGAGGAGAACTGGTTTGATGAACTGATTTCTCATTTGTCTTGCTTCAAATCCCCTGTTCTCTCCCCAAATGCAGGAAGCTTGTGTGCAGACCCGCAGTGACAGCTTGGAGGAGGCATCATGGAACAGATTTTCSTTGAATTATCTAATTTTGTTTTTCATTTACCTAATTTTTTTTCTAGGGCATTTTGCTCTGCTGCTAGTACTTATCTTTGGGAAATGTATTTTACGTTGGTAATTCAGCGCATGCAGCAAAACTGAAGAATAAATTAAAAGAATGAATTGTTTCTCTAAAGACAAACTTTTCTGACTTGAATGTAGCCCTTCTTAAAGCTTAACAAGCCTGTGAAACCTGCTGCCTTTTGATAACACTTTGCAAGAACGATGCCTTCCAAAGTGGTCASTCAGGTCTGTGTATGCGATTGCATTTGGAGGGGGGAAAAGCTAGATGTGGTGCCACTGGTTCAAACAGACTTGCATGGAGCGTGTGAATATGCTGCACATCTCAAGAGACAACTTGGAAATGCAAAAAGGAAGGGACCCAAGTGCTGCTCTTGGTCAGCCATAAATTATTTGGCTTGCAGAGCTCCTCAGCAGAGGTGCTCGGTGCCAGGCCCAGCGCAGCGAGGGTGCCCCTTGTGGAAYATGCCGTGTTTGTGGCCTGTGCACGTGGACGTGCACAGAAGTGCCAGGTAAGATCCAGGTGCTCTCCCATCTAGCAGAGAGGCTTGTGCTCCAGCAGCAACTCCCTGCTCAGTGCACAATCAGCCTGATGGCCTTTGGACAGTGGTGCTGGTTTACAGCCTTTTCACCTTGTTGGGGCTAATGCCTGCTTATCGATTTGTTTTTTATTTTGGGAAGATCAGAACTTAATGTTCCAGTTGACCAGTGGTCATGCTGCTTTCATAGTGAGGCTGTCCCGAAGTGGGTTGGCTTTGCAGATTGCCCCATTTTGCAGCCTTAAATCTGAGCTACCAGGAGATGGCTCTGCCCTTCCCACATACAGCCCAAGTCCCCGCTGTGGATCTCCAGTTTTCTGTAGTAAATGCTAATAGAAAAGAAAAAAGGAACAGTGGAAGTATCAGCTATATGGGAGCAGACCCGAAACAAAGCGAACTGAACAGTAAATTCAGTGCCAAAGAGCCCATTAGCTTCTTAAAGCTGAAACACGAAGCAAATTCAGAATGAGGGCTTAAAATTTTCAGTTACACTTGATTTTGCCAATCTGAAACTCCTCGTTCTCTGGAAAGCCAGGCCGTAACTCGGCTTTGTGAGGAGCTGCTTTGCTGCCAGGAGGCAGTTGGGAAAAGCATTTGAGGCTCCAGGATTTCTAAGTCTGAATGGYTGGTTAGACTCTTATGCCTAATTGCATTTTTTTCTTTTATTGTAGATTGCATAAGCGAAAAAGTCTTTATGGAAAGACTGGATTGATTGGATTACAGTGGTATTTGAGAAGTTAAATGAGTTAGATTCTTCATTTGTTTTATTGTATTTTTCTTCGGTTGTAGATTTTCCCTTCCCTCCTTTTCCCCTTCCCTCTCAAAAAAAATATTGATCTCTMTCTAGAAACTCATTTACAAAATGATGGTGGCCGTTTGCTTTAATAACAGAATTTTTCAAGCTCCAAGCATACTACTGAATTTGGTTTCCTTGCATTATCTTGCTGAGGTAAAATTTGTGTAGTTTTGGTGGAGAAGTCCCAACGCCAGGATTTTAGCACTCGAAAAACCTTCGAGGAATCAGACTTCTGGTAATGCAAGTGTTGATATTCTTAACAATTAACACTGTAATATTTCCATCACTGTTCTGCTTGGAGGTAATTCCTGGTTTTGGAGGCAGCTAAGCCAAAAGTTACTTGCAGAATGCAGAAAGTAGGCTTCCTACCTCCGCCCTAAAGGAAATTAGTGACCAGTCTGTCACTTACTGCAGGTAGGAGCACTGCCCCATATTTTAACTTTCATTAAATAATTTCTTAGCATCTGGCACTGAAGACAGAAGTTATTCTTTTTGCTGATACCATGTGGAACTCTACGTGGTGTTSTGAGCTAGCAAACACTTGCAGAGGTTCCCAGGATTTGCCATTTAAGATSGAAACTTAAATCTGGAAATGCAGTTCCTGAGGTTAGGAGACCCAAGCGATGCTTTTTATAGAATAACAAGTTATCACCTAATAAGTGTGTTATCCTCTCGTGA